TACCCCAAAGAGACCCCAAAGAGACCCCAAATCCCCCAAAGAGACCCCAAAGGGACCCCAAATACCCCAAAGAGACCCCATAGGGACCCCAAAGAGACCCCAAAGAGACCCCAAAAAGACCCCAAAAAGACTCCAAAGAGACCCCAAATCCCCCAAAGAGCCCCAAAAGTGACCCCAAAAAAGACCCCACAGCACCCCAGTTACCCCAAAGAGACCCCAAAGAGACCCCAAATCCCCCAAAGAGACCCCAAAGGGACCCCAAAAGGGACCCGAGAGACCCCAAAGGGACCCCAAAAGTGACCCCAAAGAGACCCCAAATACCCCAAAGAGACCTCAAAGAGACCCCAAATCCCCCAAAGAGCCCCCAAAGGGACCCCAAAGAGACCCCAAATCCCCCAAAGAGACCCCAAAGGGACCTCAAATACCCCAAAGAGACCCCAAAGGAACCCCATAAGGGACCCGAGAGACCCCGAAGGGCCTCTGGGGTCCCCCCCAAGGACCCCCCTTCCCCCAAACCCCGACCTTGGGGGGCTCGTCGGCCTCGGGGGGTCCCTTCCCCGGCGGCTCCGGCGGCCGCGGCTCCTCCTTCTTGGGCCCCTCGGCCTTGTCGGCCCTTTCCTCCTCCTCCTCCTGCTCCAGGATGCGCAGGTCGTGCTCCGAGCCCCCCTCCATCTTGATCACGGCTGCGAAAAACGCCCGAAAACGGTTAAAACCCCCCAAAAAACGGGGGGAAAAAGGGACGGAAAAATGGGGGGAAACGGCCCTAAAAAAGGGTAAAAACCCCCCCAAAAATGGGGCAGGAGCGCTCTGAGATCCTTCCATCTCAATCACACCCTTCTGGGGGCTCGGGGAGGATTTTGGGGGCTCTCAGGGAAGGTTTTGGGGCCTGGGGAAGGATTTTGAGGCCTCAGGGAAGATGTTACGGCCTCAGGGAAGATTTTGTGCTCTCAGGGAAGGTTTTGGGGCCTCAGGGAAGATTCTGGGGCCTCAGGGGCTGTTTTGTGCTCTTGGGGAGGATTTTGTGGCCCCAGGGAGGATTTTGGGGCCTTAGGGGGGGATTTTGTAGTCTCAGGGAAGGTTTTGTGGCCTGGGGAAGGATTTTGGGGCCTCAGGGAAGATTTTGTGGCCTCAGGGAAGGTTTTGGGGCCTGGGGAAGGATTTTGGGGCCTCAGGGAAGATTTTGGGGCCTGGGGAAGGATTTTGAGGCCTCAGGGAAGATGTTACGGCCTCAGGGAAGATGTTACGGCCTCAGGGAAGGTTTTGGGGCCTCAGGGAAGATTTTGGGGCCTCAGGGGCTGTTTTGTGCTCTCAGGGAAAGTTTTGCGGCCTCAGTGAAGATTTTGCATTCTCAGGAATGATTTTGGGGTCTCAGGAAGGATTTTGTGGCCTCAGGGAAGATTTTGTGCTCTCAGGGAAGGTTTTGGGGCCTCAGGGAAGATTTTGTGCTCTCAGGGAAGGTTTTGGGGCCTGGGGAAGGATTTTGGGGCCTCAGGGAAGATTTTGTGCTCTCAGGGAAGGTTTTGGGGCCTGGGGAAGGATTTTGGGGCCTCAGGGAAGATTTTGTGTCCTCAGGGAAGGTTTTGGGGCCTCAGGGGGGGATTTTGTAGCCTCAGGGAAGATTTTGTGGCCTCAGGGAAGATTTTGGGGCCTCAGGGAAGATTTTGTGGCCTCAGGGAAGGTTTTGGGGCCTCAGAGAAGCTTTTGGGGCCTCAGGGGCTCTTGTGCTCTCAGGGAAGATTTTGTGGCCTGGGGAAGGATTTTGGGGCCTCAGGGAAGATGTTACGGCCTCAGGGAAGGTTTTGGGGCCTCAGGGGCTGTTTTGTGCTCTCAGGGAAAATTTTGCAGCCTCAGGGAAGATTTTGCATTCTCAGGAATGATTTTGGGGTCTCAGGAAGGATTTTGTGGCCTCAGGGAAGATTTTGTGCTCTCAGGGAAGGTTTTGGGGCCTCAGGGAAGATTTTGGGGCCTCAGGGAAGATTTTGGGGCCTGGGGAAGGATTTTGTGCTCTCGGGGAAGGTTTTGTGGCCTCAGGGAATATTTTGTGGCCTCAGGGAATATTTCGTGGCCTCAGTGAAAGGTCTGTGCTCTCGTGAATGATTTTTGGGGTCTCAGGAAGGATTTTGTGCTCTCGGGGAAGGTTTTGCGGCCTCAGGGAGATTTTGAGGCCTCGGGCTCTGCTTTTCCCGGTTCTTTTCCCCCCCCCCCCCCAACTCTTTCCCCGAGCCCCCCCATTTTTTTGGGACCCACCTGCGTCGAGGGTCTTGACGATCTGGGGGGCCCTGTCGATGTCGAGCAGGAGGTTGTCGAACCAGCCGTGCTCGGACAGGTACAGGAACACCCCCAGGCGGTTCCGCAGCGCCGCCTGGGCCTCCTGCCGGCGCCGG